TAAAAAGTTCTGTTATTGAACTTGACAGCTTGGTTGGTTGTTTGGTTTTTTTTATATGTGATCTTATATCCAGAAACCTTGATTAATTAGGGTCAAGAGGTATAAGAATTTATCTGTGGATTCTTCTGGCTTTTCTAAAGATATTAATCATATAATCTGCGAATGCTGCTTGGTTGGTTGATTGGTATTTCTATATGTGATCTTATATTCAGAAATCTTGATTAATTAGGGTCAAGAGGTGTAAGAATTTATCTGTGGTTTCTTCTGGCTTTTCTAAAAATATTAATCATATAATCTGTGAATGCTGACGGTTTTGTTTCTTTTCCAATCCTTATACTTATTTTTGGTTTTCCCTATCTGGTTCTCATTCATGAGTCTTGTTCCCTGAGTGCTTCATCTTTGACCGTGTGCTGGCGATGTTATTTGGAAAGTTATTTGGAGGGCTACATTGAGGCCTAGGAGGATTATATCTTTCTCCAAAGAGGTTTTATTTGTTTCTCTCATGGGTCTGGAGGCATTGATAGTCCACGATAATTTTAATTAAATCCATAATCTGAGATCCCTGGTCCACTCAATAATTGGAAACTAGACCGTAGATCCATAATCTGTGTAGACTAATAATCTTCTGGTTTACCCCTTGCTACATCCTTCAGAGTCCTGGAGAGTAGGGGATAGTTTATCCACTGTTGGCAGAGTGTCGTTGAAGCTGCTTTCCCAGCATCAGTAAATGTAAAAATGGACTTTAAATGACAGGCTTTGACTGTTGGCCTGGCAATTCCTAGGTAACCTACCTATAATGCAGATGGGGTGCTCTGAATTATCTACTCCACATGAACTGAAACTTGGTGTTTCTTTATGATTCCATTGAGTTTTTTAATTCTTGTTCCTGAGGGTTTTTTTTTTTTTGTGGGTTTCTATAAGTTCTTTGTTTTCTTTCCTTTTCTCCCTTCCTTCCTTTCTTTCTTAAATACCTTATTATAGTTTCCCATTCATCAGCTGTCATCACCCTTGTTTTTTATTTCTTTATACACCTGTATGCTGAGTCTATTATTATCATTTTTTTTCACTAAGTGATATTTTATGGTGTGCCTTGTTATATAAAATGCAATTGTATTTTAAAATGTATTTGTAGGGATTCTTTGAAGTATGATTTGAGTTTGCTTCTGCCAGGTGGCTGGGCATTTGAATCAGGGACCACCTTAAAACCAATCCAAAGCTTGGGTTATTTCGAATGACCTATGGCATTTGTTCAGGAGGATCTCAATGAAGTGAAACTAGATACCCTACTTCCTGTGGGCATGACTTTGTATATTAGTCTTCTGTACTGTAAAGAAGATACTTTAAAAAATTTTATCAGTATCTTTGATTTTTTTAAATAAATATATTTTATTGATTTTTTTACAGAGAAGAAGGGAGAGGGACAGTGTTAGAAACATCGATGAGAGAGATCGATCAGCTGCCTCCTGCATGCCCCCCACTGGGGATGTGCCTGCAACCAAGATACATGCCCTTGACCGGAATCGAACCTGGGACCCTTCAGTCCGCAGGTCGACGCTCTATCCACTCAGCCAAACCGGTTTGGCAGTATCTTTGATTTTTGTGAGAGATTGATCTGAATAATATAGATGGTTTTACTGAACCATTAAAGTCTACTGCAATTTATTTAACCAAATACCTGTTGTTGGACATTTAGATTTTCTTATTATAAATAACATTGTGATGAAGAAAAATTGTTCCTGGAAGTAAAACTGTTAGGGTCTGCATGTTTTAATGCTGATTGAAATCTTTTGCCCTTTGGAAAGGTTGTCCCAACATAGTGTATCCTAAGTTTTCCTAACTTGGGCCATTTTAATAGAAAACAATATGACATTATTGTTTGAATTTACTTTTATTATTATTATTTTTAAAATCTTTATTGTTCAGATTATTACAGTTGTTCCTCTTTTTCCCCCCCATAGCTCCTCTCCATCCGGTTCCCACCCCACCCTCTGCCCTTACCCCCCCACTGTCCTCATCCATAGGTGCACAATTTTTGTCCAGTCTCTTCCTGCATCTCCCACACCCCTTTTCCCCCCAAGAATAGTAAGTC